AGCGTGATTTATTTTTAAGTTGAAAAGATATTGTTTCGTAATTGATGTAAAATATATAAAGCTTAAATTCCGTCTAATTTACTTCCACCACAGATATCCGCAAATACGCAATACATATATTTTGGGCATTCTGTATATATTACAAAACTAAAGCGGATCAATCATGTGTGTTTGTCTTGTTTTCATCTTAAATCTAAGAAACACTTTCTTGTAGCTTCTAAAATGTACACCTACCTCAAAAAAAAAAAAAAAACATGAGAAAATAATTCAAAAGAAAAAAAAAAATTATTGAAATGTTTCAAGTCACACATTACAGAACAATAATGATATACATATAACAGATAATATTGAAAATGACAATAGTAACGAGTTCTAATTGGAACAGGGGACCCCCATTGGAAATAAGCTTTCTGTGGCCTTGAAGAGCTATCCCAGGGTTAGGCAAAATACGTAAATTATATATATATCAACTTTGTAAATTACCGGCTTATATGGAATTGTTTTGGTGTGTTTGCCTTTTCCTGGCTAATTATTATTACTATCATTATTATATATTAGTCCCCCGCACTGCACGTCGAGTAACAAATGATTAATTGGGGGAAAAAACAGTCGCAAATGACGCATTCAAAAACATTTGAATTGCCATAATACTCGTCATACAAGGTTGGAGCAAAATCGGACAAAGCGGGAGACCTTGGCATCACCTTGGCGTACACCCATAATTGTGTGATATAAGCTTAGGTCACTGCGGCCATGTTTGGTGACTGATCGGAAACTTAAACGCGTTATGCACATCTAAAGGTGCCGGCCAACGCTTAAGTAAATTGTCATAAATATCCGGCAAGCAGTTTTCGAGAACAGATCCGGGAACTGTTTGGCGGAAGAAAAAACCCCGAATAATAATTGTAAGAAACAAAGCAAAAGAAGGAAGTCCCTACTTTGTTTTGGATTTGATTTTAATTAGATAGCGTTCATAAAAGGCAGTGGTATCCATGTTGCTCACTTTATCATGATTGGTATAGGGTTGAATATCGCCGCTTAGTCATAACTCAGATGGTGCATAAACGTTTTTCACATATGCAAAAAAAAAATCTATTTTACTTTTATCGGACTATTCAGCTCAAAATTACGGGGGAATTAAAAGTGTCTAAATGTCAACTTCAAAGCCAGAAAACATAACGGGCCTCAAAGTTAAGTATATAATTGATGTAAAACTCGCGTGTCGGTTCTAACCCTGTTAGTTTGTTTATTAACACGCCAGAGTTCAGGCATAGTACTGTTTACCTCCGCCAATAATCTGATAATTGTGTTTCAATTTGTGTGGTGACATTCTGCCCATTTTTGTTTACAGGTATTCAATTTTCCTTCTTAGTTCCGTGTTAATTCAGGTAGCAGTTAGATAATTGTCAGAACAGGCGAGCGCGACATAACGACCACGATATACAGACTTATTTACCCAAGGCTGAAGGTTTAGTCGTCAATGTTTTCTGTCCCCAGGTCGGGACATACCAAAACCCTTCCAAATGGAAGTTGTTATTCTTTGTTTATCGTTCAGCTTTTAGGGCAATGACACCAACTGGGTCATCCGTTGTAACTGTAATGTGACCGAGTGGAATGCTGTGCTGGATGCATGGTATTTCAGTCAGTAGCACTATAAAGTCAGCATTAGATCCGCGCTATCAGAAGGAAGCAATTACCCCGGCATACCCTACCTCCGGTAGACATGCACACATGCTTGCATACACAACACACACATGCAGACACGCCCTTAAATGACCTTAACTATTTATAGGACGTTAAACAAAATAAAAACCAACAAACAACGTATATTATCGTACATTTGTTTGCTTGTTTGTTAAGTTCCCCTTCACCAGTTACGGTGCTAAAAGACAGTAAAATGGAAATAAATGTCAGTTTGATTTGTTTGTGTTTTACGTCCTATTAACAGTTATGTTAATTTAAGGGCGTGCCAGGTTTTGGTGGTGCAGGAGTACCCGGAGAAAAAAACACCGACCTGCGGAGAATATACGTACCTGGCTACTGATACGTTGGCATCGAACCCGCAACCAGTGGTAGAGAGCTAGTGATCGTGGACGGTCAGATGCCGTCTTCTCTTCATATTCGAAACAAACAACACAACGAGCAAATCACATTTGCCCGTCCAGCCTGTCGTGAAAATAGTGCAGTGGGCGTTTAATTTTGCAAAAAAACAATCTATATGTCTATGAGCTTGTACAGAAGCTCCGCACGCCACTCATACGAGCGAAAAACATTCGCTCCTAACTCGCATACTGCGGCCGCCCGTGAACGTCTCAGACGCTCCATAGAGGTACTGTACCCATCGCAGATGTACTCGCTCGCTCAGGAAAAACTGGATATAGCACCCGGAAACCTGCTTCCAAACGGCAGAAAATAATTTCTTTCTGGAATAACGATTATTTTCATTGCGACGTATATTATCTCCAGGGCGGGGCACAGAACTAGTACCAGAAAAAAACACAAAAAAAAGGCAAACGCACAAAGCGACATAAAAAAAACACGAAAAAAACCCCTACCATACACCCACAAAAACACACCCCACTACGTACGAAAACCTTATTGTAAAGGGCGCCCTAAATTTCCGCCTATCCGAAAAACGTGTAACCTATCAAACGGGACGGATATAAACTGTAACTACGATGCTAAATATTTTGTCTTTAATTGTTTAATTGCGACCGCACTGGTAGAACGACAGCTAGAGAATGAACTCACCCCGTGTCCGCCATGCACGAGTACACCGGACCACTGGCCGGATGTGTCCGCCATGCACGAGTACACCGGACCACTGGCCGGATGTGTCCGCCATGCACGAGTACACCGGACCACTGGCCGGATGTGTCCGCCATGCACGAGTACACCGGACCACTGGCCGGATGTGTCCGCCATGCACGAGTACACCGGACCACTGGCCGGATGTGTCCGCCATGCACGAGTACACCGGACCACTGGCCGGATGTGTCCGCCATGCACGAGTACACCGGACCACTGGCCGGATGTGTCCGCCATGCACGAGTACACCGGACCACTGGCCGGATGTGTCCGCCATGCACGAGTACACCGGACCACTGGCCGGATGTGCCGCTCGTGCCAGAGAAGACAAATAATTCCCTCTATACTCCGAACCGCGGGAATATTTAATTCACCACTCGTCCATTACAATTCGTGGACTCAGAAAAAGATATTCAAGTCACCATATATAGATGATAAACTAACATTTGATAAGCATTTGCGAAAAGATTTATGAATAAAATTCTATATAATCGGCGTTTTGCGGAGAACAATTGAATACATTGACATCCGTAGTTTTAAACTGTTGTAGTATGCATCAGTTAGACGTCATAGAGAGTATGAACATTGAGCTTGGGCCCCATTTAGAAAAGCATGTAAAGCAATAGAAAATGTACAACGTCGAGCAAAAAAACAAATATCAGGACTGTCTAATGTATCATACACGGCACGTTTGTAGAAATTAAGATAACCAACGACAGCCTTTAGCAGAGCACCTGGTGATAGGATCAGAGTTTTATCAAATTGTTTCCGGAAAACATGACAGAGAAGTCACATACATATTTACAATTAAAGAAAGTTCAAACACACGAGGCCATAACTTTAAAATATATAATATTTAATCGCGGTTAAAACTAAGAAAGTATTCGTTTACACAGAGAAATGTTGTCATGTGGAACAACCTCCCTCAAATGTAGTGACAGTTGAACAACTGGAGCATGACACAGCTGGACACCGGAAAAGTCAACTGCGAAAAATACTGTCTTGAAGAAATGAATACAGCTATGAAATACAAATTTACAATTATTATGTATATTAATATGAGCTATCTGTCAAAGGATTGTAAATCATGTATATATTTTATTATATTGTTAGAATGTGTATATCTGTATAGCCAGTATAGGCAACAAAGACAGCTCGAATCGCGCACAAAGATTCGAATACATGTTACTTTTTAACATAATTAATATTTTCATAAGTTGAAGTGATTTTAGAAAATTCGCTTTGATAACCTTTGTGACTTTACACACTCTAATTCCTGTGGAATTTGGTGCAAGGGATATAACTCTCGCGTGCAAAATAATAACTGGATAACTGATGACCAACCATTTTGTTCATATTTTTTTTTAAATGCTATTAATCAGAGGTAAAACCTCGCGGATCTGCAGGCCTTAAAAGTCTTTGCCAAGGGGGGG